AGAAGGGTGGATCACTTGAGGTCAGGCGCTCAAGACCAGCTTGCCCCAACATGGTGAAAACTTGTCTCTACTAAAAAATACAAAAATTAGCTGGGTATGGTAGTGCTTGTAATCCCAGCTACTCTGGAGGCTGCAGCAGCAGAATCGTTTGAATCTGGGAGGCAGAAGTTGCAGTGAGCCAAGATTGTGCCACTGCACTCCAGCCTGGGTGACAGAGCGAACTCTGCCTCCAAGGAAAAAAAAAAAGCGTCTGAGAGGTGAGGATGGGAGCCTTGTGCACATCTGGAGAAATCAGGTCCTAGGCCAAAAAAGGAGCAAGTGCAAAGGCCCCGAGGCAGGAGCATGCCTGTTATGTCCCTGAAACAGGTGACTTGCTGAGTAAGGGTAAGAATAGTAAGAGAATGCATTCAGAGAACAGTGGGGTTATCCTTGGTGGGTTCAGTTTACCATACTCCTGACCCCCTAGACACGTCTACCACACCTCTTTATTTGTGACTTCTAAAGAAAAAAGCTGTGTGTCCATGCACACCTATTCAGAGTGTAAATCAGCACAACTTTCCAGAGGGCCTTTGGCAAACTATACTAAAAGCCTTAAAATTCTGCATCCTCTTTGAATAATTTTAATTTTCTAGGATGTTATCCTCAAGAAATATTAACCATAGCAATGCCAATTTCTGTTTTGTTTACAATTCTTGAAACCCGAAAACAACTGAATATCCAACAATAGAGATTTGTTAATTATAGTGTTTCCTATGTGCAAATACAAGCAAACAATCTGTACCCTACACCTCCTCTTCATAATCCGTATGCTCTCTGAGTACTTGAGAGTTCTAAGAACAATGCATTATATCTATGCCACATCACTTTAATTTGAGATCCAAGTTCAATTACATACCCTCAGAATAAAAATTAAGAAAGCAGCCTCTAATGTGCAGAAACTGTGTAGTTTAGGTAACACAATTCAAAAGAAAGCATACACAATCCTGGGGGTTAAGACCGTAAATAATAAAAATAAAAATGCATGTTAAGCACCTTGCCCTTAACTCTCCATAAAATTGTCTAGAATTACAGCAAAAGAGGTCATCTAATCTTCTAGGACTCAAAGGCCAAGCTTGTTTTTCTACCCCTTTGACTGGTATTTATTTCTCAAGACCGTTCAAGGAAAACCTGTTGAACAGGTGAGAATACAATAACGTGGCTCCAGGGGAGAGTCAGAGGGGAGCTGTACACAAAGCAACCATTGAGAAAGCAAAGATGCAAGGAGGCTTCCCCTTGGGAATTCACTTAACCAAGCCCAATTAGGCCTCATTGGTTTCCCCCAACATTAATAAACCACAGGGGAAAGGGAGGGGGGCATAGCAAGGCTCCCCTGGGGTAGAGCCAGGTGCACAGTTGCGGAATGGATAATCTAGTTCACATTTTATCCTCGAAAGACCACACTTTATCCTCTTAAATTTCTATTTCCATGAGGAAACAGCACCTAAGGCTTCTGTATATAATCACTGTTACTACTGATGAAATTTATGGGACAAAGGTTCGAGCCTGGGCTTTCTCATTCCTGGCACAATTACCAGCTGGAGCCATACTTCTCTGCTGTAGGAGCTGTCCTGAGCATTGCAGTATAGCTGGCAGCATGCCTGGCCTCTGCCCTCTAGAGGTCAGCAGCCCCTCCCCCTCAGCCTCAACAAATAACCACATGTTGTAGGAGTGACCCGGTGGGAGATAACTGAATCATAGGGGAGGTTTCCCCCATACTGTTCTTGTGGTAGCAAATAAGTCTCATGAGATCTGGTCGTTCTATAAGGGGAAACCCCTCTCGCTTGGTTCTCATTCTCTCTTGTCTGCCACCATGTAAGACATGCCTTCGCCTTCTGCCATGATTTGAGGCCTCCCCATCCACATGAAACTGTGAGTCCATTAAACCCCTTTTTTCTTTACAAATTACCCAGTCTCAGGTACGTCTTTATTAGGAGCATGGAAACAGACTAATACAGGTGGCAAGCTAGCAAATCCTCTAGGCAGATTACCAGTGATCAGGGCAACCCATACCATTCTTGAAGTGAAACAAGGTACATGGTCTCATCAGCCTCTCCAGGAAAGATCAGTGCACAAGCCCAACGCTTGGTGAGGCATAACTGAGAAGGAAATACGTTCTCCCCACTTCATCTGGAGTAGTCTAAGGGCAAGGCCCACATCACATTCACAGTTACAGACTCAGAGCTATAGTAGGCAGGCATTTTAATACATGGCAGTTGGATGAATGTATCCCCTCCTCAACGAACATCTCATTAGAGCTACCAGCAGTACAACTGAGCCTAGAGTTGTCAAAAGTACCAAAGTAGACAGCCTAGCATTACTTAAATTGTTCAGTAAATACAAGCTACAAGAAGCTGTGTAGCTAGCCGGGTATAAAACTTCTTATACAAACTGAAATTTAAGAATCACTACAGGGAGAAACAAAAGAGAGGCCTAGGCAGGTGGCTCGACATTGTAACCATTATGCCTTCTAAAGTCACTACCAAATCCCTGGAGGTGGTTAAGGCATGGGTGGAGAATGCATATCACATTATATAGCTACTGGTCCTGCTTGCCTGCTAGCTTGACTTTATTCCATTCCAAAAATGTGGGAATTGTTCCATGTTTAAAATCAAGATTCCATCACCTGGATATGCATGTTAAATGGTGTGTTTATAGTTGAGAGGATTAAATGAGAAAGAGGAATCAGTTCTTATTCTAGGGTTAGGTACTACTGAAGTCTGCATAGCAGTAACATCTGACTCTATAACCCGTGAGCAAGCCCACTCTTCTGCTAAATGTCTCCCTAGCTTTGGGTGGCATTTCAAAGACAACAAAGAGAAATCACTCTGGACTTCCACCTAGAAACTCAACTCTCTACACATTCCTCTATGCCCCAAGTTCAACATGCCTCTTGCTGTAATCTCTTAAAGATCTGTTACGTCTCTCCAGGTTTTTTCCATACAACTTAATTCATTCTTTGGGTTCCACAAAGCTCCCAAATACCTGATCATTTTTTGTTATTGTTGGTTCTGAATTTCCCAAAGTTTTAGTTTTGGGTGCCTGCAATGGCGTTGACCTTTTTAATGCTCTGACTAGTCTTTCAGCTGCACACTGAACCCTACTGAGAAAATTATTAAGCCAGTAAGACTGTTCCTGTAGAAACTGTGTGTTGGGAAAATGAACGCACTCACCCTGGTGAACCTTGTGTCCCCTCCCCCACTGTACTCACAAGCCTGACAGATGGGCCAGTAGAGGCCAGGGCAGATCAATGGGAGAGAAACACCAAACAGCTGGAGAAACGATCTTCCACTCCTCAGCCCCTTCCTTCCTCCCCAGGAAAGCTGTCCTCTGCCCCCCTAACAGTCATTATCTACTGATGATGGATAATGGGTTTATAATGATGATGGGGACATGGGGGGAAGGAGCTGTTCGCCTCACATTTTTAATGTTGAGTTGTCTCTGATAGAAAAAGACATGGACCACATTTTCCCTTGCCTTAGGTTAGGCAGAAAGGGAAAGGGCTTCAGGAGGAGCATCAACCAAAATCAGCCTTCCCTCTTGGCCCTGCTGTCTTCCTGGAGCCCTCGAGTCTTTTTTGAGAACTCTGCCCTGCATGGTACACTGAACCTCAGGAGGGACCACTGAAACAGGCTTGGGTAAAAGTTTTGCTCTTCTCTTCTTTTTACTACCATCCTTCTTATGACAAACAGACTGAAATTGTCTCAATACCTTTAGTGTCCAGGTCCAAGAATACATGAAGTGGGTGTCAGCTGACATTATTCAGGATGAGTGTCCAGGTTTGCTAAAGCCAGTCTTTGTTTCCCATGGGAGCAGCAACAGTGGGCATGTGTCCCCCCACCTGCCCTACACTGGAGGGTCCGGATGGATCAATGGGTGTCATTTCAGGTTCCTGTATCAGGGACCTGATGGCCATTGTGACGACAGCCCAGGGCCAAAGAGGAAGCTTATGGCTTCAGAAATGAGGGAACATGGTGCGTTCAGAACAGAACATAGAAAGGGAGTAAAGAGAGAACTCAGCAGAAAGGGAGTAAAGAGAGAATGGAATCCAATGTGGAGGCTCAACATTTCATTTTCTGTATACGCTGTTGACGAACGCAACATATCCTACTCTTACCAACAATTCAGCCCATTTACTTGGCAGGTGGAGAAATGTGCTATTAGCTATGGTTGGCTTGCAATACAATGGAAACTTTCAGAGAAGAGTCTTTGCTTTCACAGTGTCTGGCACTGACATCATGAAGGCTAGGGAACAGTTGTCAGAAGGAGCAGCAGGCGGAGCCCAAAGCAGGCACAGGGCTGGGCACTGTGGACACGTACTTCACTCACTCTTCTTCACAGCCCTCAGTGACAAGTGTGATTATTTGCAGTAAATTAATGAAGACACTAAATCTTAGCTAGTTATGACTTTCCTCAAATACTTAAATCTTCTCAGGGTGATAGAGGCCTCTATAGGATGAGAACTGTTCTAGGTGAATTGTGTACCTCCTCAAAATTCGTATGTTCAAATCCTAACCCTTCAGTGCCTCAGAATATGGCTGTATGTGGAGACAGGACCTTGAGAGTGGTAATTAAGTTAAAATTAGGTCTTCAGGGCGGGCCCTAATATAGCATGTCTGTCTGGTATCCTTATAAAAGGAGGAAATTGGAACACAGAAGGTACAGAGGGAAGACCATCTGAGGACACAGGGAAAAGATGGCCATTTGTAAGCCAAAGAGAAAACCCTCAGAAAGAACCAACATTGATGACATCTTGATCTCTGACTTCCAGCCTCCACAACAGTGAGAAAAATCATTTCTGTTAGTTAAACCCCCACTCTGTGGTACTTTTCTATGGCAGCCCTAGCAAACTAATAAAACACCAAAGACAGAAAGCATCAAAGAAGAGCTTGATGATTTGATACAAAGAAGCTTAAAACTTCTGAATTCCAAAAACCTTCATAAAAATTTAGACAGCTAAATAAATGCTTCGGCAGCATGTACACTAAAACTGGAATGATACAGAGAAGATTAGCATGATCCTTACACAGGGAACACAAAAATTCCCTGTGTAATTTTTATATATTAGTTTAAAACATATATAGAAAAAATTTAAAGATGAAAAACAATCTGGAAAAAACATTTGCAATAAACATGATCCAACTTGGTATAAGTATCCTTAATAAGGATCTCATGAATTTGTTAGCTGGGCGCAGTAGCTCAGCACCTGTAAGCCTAGCACTTTGGGGGGACGAGGCAGGCAGATCACTTGAGGCCAGGAATTCTTGCTTTCTGCTGGGGATGAAGCTGAAGCTGTCTGCAGCCTTGCTCCCTCCATGGGGAATACCTCATAAGAAAGCATGAGACAAGGAGAAGGCAAGACAGGTCAAGAGGAAAACATTCCAAAGGGAACAAGGACAGGAGGCCTAGCTATGTTCAGTTTCTGTTGAGTTTCCTAACACTTTTCCTTCCTTCCTTCTAAGCTATTCTAATATTCTTCCTAGATAGACAAACAAATAAATTCCTCATTATGCTATGTGAGCTTGAGTTCAGTTTCTGTCACTTGTAATTGAAAACTCCTAATACATCAACCTAACCATATCCGTTTACTGACCTAAGTTCCAAACTGGTCATTAAATGACTGGAAGGCAAGACAGGCTGAAGCTACACACTCTAACCTTGCAATCAAGAGGAAAGGATCTTCTGCTCCCCAATTCTAGAGCTTCCTATGGCTGCAAGTCCACATCTGTGAAGTAGCACTCAGCACCTAGGGGCTGCCTTTCCTCTGCAAGACTGCTATCAGAACTCACTCATGGATTGCAGGAGTTGGTCTCACTCCAGCATTTCCCACAGAGCACTGATTCTCTGAGTTATTTACAAATGCAATGCAAAAAGAAAGAGTCAGGATTCTTGGGAGACACTGAGTGGAGTAATATCTGCTAATAACTAACTAGTTCATGTCCTATATGCTTTTCAAGACAATTTGAATTAGGTACCATTACTAGCCTATTTTATAGACAAGGAAACCAAGATGCAAAAACATTAAGTATCTTGCCCAAAGTCTCACATCCACGTAGGGAACCCAGCCAGAATGCAATCTACATCTGTCAGATTTGATAGCCCAAGTTTGTAACCACTATGCCATTTTTTAAAAATAGAGACAAGGTTTCACTATGTTACCTAGTCTCAAACTCCTGAGCTCAAGCAATACTCCTGCTGCAGCCTCCCAAAGTACCAGGATTGCAGGCATGAGCCACTGTGCTGGGCTCTATGCCTTTCTTTCAAAATAGTTTCCTTTACTGCAGGACTTCTCAGGGACTTTAATGTAACACATGTGTCCTGTGAAATCTCCATATTCAATCTACAGTATTTCCCAAATGTATCTGTCCAGAAAACTTTTATTTTTAAATAAAACATCTTGTGGCACAGGTTTCTCATAGGACATACTTTAAGACTATTTGCCTCCTTGGCTTCTCAAAAGGAAAGAATCGCCAAATAGTCTCGACCAGAAATGTAATGGAAAGTGGCAGAGAAAACTTTCCTTTAGTCCCATATTGAATTATCATCACCTGCATCTGTGGGCTTGTCTCCAGGAAAGTAGCCCAATTCTTTTGAGTAACTCTTTCCAATTTACAGAGAACAGTAAAAATTCTATTAACTGCAGCTTTTACTGTGCAAAGCAACAGGGGATATATAGTACAAGAAACAGAATACCTGTATTTGTGATCATTTGAACATCTCACTTTTTGCTTTAAATCTGTGGATGGTGACCTGGGACCTCTAGGATAGAAACCTTTCACAGCCTGCATCCAACTACCACCAGTGCTTCCTCCCTGACCCAGTGAGTCCCTGCTCCCCAAACCCCACACACATGCAATGGCTTTGTAAGGCAGACACGGAAAACGGGTTCTGCCTTAAGACTGTCAACAGTCCATTTGCGGCGGCTGCTGGTGGCTCTGCTTAAAGAAGGAACCGCTAGACTAAGTCAGGATCATCCTCCAGCTAGCTACGTTCTGGGTGAAGGATTAGAAAACTTGAGGCAAATGTTTGTATCTCTTCCTTCTTCATAAATGGCTTGCCGTTTCCTGAGCCATTCCTCACACTTCGTCTTTGTTCATCATGTTCTCTCCACCTCCAATGTCCTTCCCTTTCCTTGGGTCTGCTTAAAAAATTCCCACCTAGCCGGGCGCGGTGGCTCAAGCCTGTAATCCCAGCACTTTGGGAGGCCGAGGCGGGTGGATCACGAGGTCAAGAGATCGAGACCATCCTGGTCAACATGGTGAAACCCCGTCTCTACTAAAAATACAAAAAATTAGCTGGGCATGGTGGCACGTGCCTGTAATCCCAGCTACTCGGGAGGCTGAGGCAGGAGAATTGCCTGAGCCCAGGAGGCGGAGGTTGCGGTGAGCCGAGATCGCGCCATTGCACTCCAGCCTGGATAAGAGCAAAACTCCGTCTCAAAATAAAAAAAAAAAAAAAAAAAAATTCCCACCTAGATTTCAAAGCCAATCTCATGCGCCAGCTCATCTGAAAGATTTCCCTGACCTCACAGCCTCTCATGCTACTAGTCACTGCCCTGAATCTGTCTTCTTAGGCACTGACAATGGCCTACCAGAGATCTCTCCCACACCTTATCCTATTCCTTTATATGAGCTCCCTGAGGGTAGGACTCATATCTTATTCATCTCTGTTCCAGACCTGATCAGATAGCATGGTAAAGAGCTGCTCAATATTTTTCAGTCAAGTGAATGAATAAATAAACGACTCTTTCCCTAAAAACAAATTCAGAGATTAAAATTACAAATGTGGAGAGAGATCCAAGATGGCTGATCACTAGCAGCTCAGGATTGTAGTTCCCAGTGAAAGCGCAAAGAACGAGAGGACGCCACACCTTCACATGAATTCTTGTTGCTCACGCACCAGGAGATTCCCAGCGGAGGATCCCCACGGGTCGCCAGCCCGACTCTTGTGACCGGCGAGGTGGTTTTGCCGGCGCCTCAGAGCGTCCCTTCTTACTGCAGAGTCGGAAAAGCACCATCAATCTTAACGCCGCGGATTTAGTCCGCGCAGCGGGTTGCTCAGATTTCGGCGCTGAGAATCAATAAGTTGGACGTCCACTCAGAAACCCAATTACAAAGACGGTAATTATAAAGACCACAGATGGATAAATCTACAACGAAGGGAAGAAAACAGCCAAAAAAGGCTGAGAATACCCAAGATCAGAACGCCTCTCCCTCAGCAGAGGATCCCAGTTCCTCATCAGCAACGAAACAAGGCTTGATGGAGAACGAGTGTGTTCCAATTACAGAAGCAGGCTTCAAAATGTGGATAATGAGAAACTTCTGTGAATTAAAAGAACTTGTTCAAACCCAATCCAAAGAAACTAAGCACTTTGAAAAAAGGTTTGATGAAATGTTAACAAGAATACAAAATTTAGAGAGGAAAACAAGTGAATTGATGGAGCTGAAAAACACAATACGAGAACTACGTGAAGTATGCACGAGTTTTAACAGCCGAATTGATCAAGCAGAAGAAAGGATATCAGAGGTCGAAGACCAACTCAATGAAATAAAACAAGAAGACAAGATTAGAGAAAAAAGGATTAAAAGGAACGAGCAAATTCTCCAAGAAATATGGGACTATGTGAAAAGACCTAATCTACGCTTGATAGGTGTACCTGAATGTGACGAAGAGAATGAATCCAAGCTGGAAAATATGCTTCAGGATATTATTCAGGAAAATTTTCCCAACCTAGTAAGGCAGGATAATATTCAACTCCAGGTAATACAGGGAACACCACAAAGATATTCCTCAAGAAGAGCAACTCCAAGGCACATAATCATCAGATTCACCAGGGTTGAAATGAAGGAGAAAATACTAAGGGCAGCCAGAGAGAAAGGTCAGGTTACCCACAAAGGGAAGCCTATCAGACTCACAGCAGATCTCTCAGCAGAAACCCTACAAGCCAGAAGAGTGGGGACCAATATTCAACATCCTTAAAGAAAAGAACTTTCAACCCAGAATTTCACATCCAGCCAAACTAAGCTTCACAAGTGAAGGAAAAGTAAAGTTTTTTGTGGACAAGCAAGCACTCAGAGATTTCATCACCACCAGGCCTGCTTTACAAGAGCTTCTGAAAGAACCACTACACATACAAAGGAACAAACAGTATCAGCCTTTCTAAAAAATACCAAAAAGTAAAGAGCATCAATATAATGAAAAATTTACATCAACTAATGGGCAAAATAGCCAGCTAATATTAAATGGCAGTATTAAACTCACATATATCATTATTAATTCTAAATTTAAATTGACTAAATCCCCCAATCCAAAGATAGACAGGCAATTTGGATAAAAAACTAAAACTCATCGGTATGCTGCATCCAGATCCATCTCACATTCAAGAATACACAAAGACTCAAAACAAGGGAGGGAGAAAGATTTACCAACCAACCAGAGAGCTAAAATAAATAAATAAAAAGCAGAAGTTACAATGTTTGCCTCTGATAAAATAGTCGTTAAGCAACAAAGATCAAAAGAAGCAAAGAAGGACATTATATAATGATAAAAGGATCAATGCAACAACAAGAAGAGCTAAAGATCCTAAATATATATGCACCCAATACAGGAATACCCAGACATACAAGACTAATAAAGAGACTTAGACTCCCACACAATAATAGTGGGAGACTTCAACATTAATATCAGACAGATAAATGAGAAAATTAACGATATCCAGGACTTGAACTCAGATCTGGAACAAGTAAATGTAATTAGCATTTATAGAACTCTCCACTTTAAATATACAAAATATACACTCTTATCAGTACCACATCATATCAACTTAGAAGTTTAAATGAAATGTTGGTTGGCTCCTTGTTTGTTAGTCTCTTCCCTCATTTTCTTTCATGTCTCCATTATTAAGGACAATTATAGGCATACCCATATTTAGGCTGCATTCTAGCCCAGGCAATAAAGCAATACCCCCATTCTCTCTCCCTCTTCCTCTTTCTCTTTCTTCCTCTTCTTTATTCTTTTTCTTATTATTTTTTTCTTTCTCAAAAAAAAAAAAAATCCAAAGCAAGTGG